CCTCAGCCTATACGCATTAGAAGGGCGGCCTGGAATATAGATTTTGTGGGCTAACAACAACCAAAAACAAACAAAGAAACAAAAATACAACCTAGCAGTCTCTGAGAGTCATGGAACAGTGAAGCTACCTGGAGCTGCATGGATTCAGACATCTTTTTTTTTGGCTTCTGTGATGTGTGTGTGTGTGTGTGTGTGTGTGTGTGTGTGTGTTCTGGATTTTGCGGATGCCTTCTGGAAGAACAAACTGGAGCGGTGTGTCTAGAAGCATGTCTGATGCTTACTGCCACCCCCACTCCCAGGCCCATCCCTGGTATCCATGAGTTTAGATCCCCTGGGGGAGGGGCTGAGGACTCCGTGAGCCTCTATATGTCCTCTGCCCATTCCCACACAAGCGAACATTTGAAAGCCACCAGCTGAGGCCTTCCAGAAGGCAGCGAGCACCCACGGCACATAAGGGCCACCTGCCATGTACAAAACACTTTGTTATTCTATTTGGAGTCAAGGCCACGGACATGACGGCTTCCCTCCCTGGCTAAAGCTCCCTGTTTCTAGAGCTCCGTGCCAGGGAAATATGGTGATGAGAGGGTGAGTGATGGCTGCTCCGGCGGGATGCCTGTCCTGCTGTGTAATATAGGCTATCCCTGTCATGGTCCCTTCCTGAAGTCTGGGGAAGCGGCTGCGGGCAGGAAGCATCTGGGTGCTGGCTGTGTGGGGTTTGAACTAAAGGCCCAAAGGCACTCAGACACTACCTGCGGCCTTAGATGAACAAGGTGAGCTCGGGGAGATGAGGTACTGTGGCCAAGAACAGATGGCTTAGGGCAGACACAGAGCCGATCAAAGACAAGTGAGGTCTTCCACAGATGCAGACCGGGAAGCCAGGCCAGCATTTCCAGGCCATGGGACTACGGGAATGGAGCCTGAGCCAGGCTGGCAGGTCAGCCTTGATCTTGAGGAGGCTTCAGACCCTCCCCAGACAAAACATGACACTGTCACCCTGACTGAAAAACATAGATGTCAAACTTTTACCCACAGTCACGTGAACTAGACCCACACTGAGGTGGGATCCTGGCATCCCCATGACTCGCAAGATCCATCTGAACCCACGCAGCTCCACACAGGAGCAGCACGCTGCACCCTCGGACTACAGATTCTTTTTGGTTCCAGAAAAAGATGAGTGTTGAAAGTGTTCCATGGCAGGGGCTGGAGAGGTGGCTCAGAGGTTAAGAGCACTGGCTGCTCTTCCAGAGGTCCTGAGTTCAATTCCCAGCAACCACATGGTGGTTCACAACCATCTATAATGAGATCTGGTGCCCTCTGCTGGCGTGCAGGCAGAATACTGTATATGTAATAAATGAATAAAATAAATCTTAAAAAGAAAATGTTTTATGGCAAAGAACGTCCTAATTTGGCAGCCAGAAATTCCTCCATAACATCTAATAATCTATAGCTCTTGGTGTGGGTATGAAATGTCCCCAGTAGGCTCACGGGTTTTAAACTTTGGTCCCCAGTGGGTAGCACTATAGGTCCTTTAGGAGGGGAGGCCTTGGTGGAAGTGGTGGCTAGAAGGTGAGCCTTACTTGTTTTAGTTATGGCTCCCTCTCTCTCCCCCCTTCCATCCCTGCCCCCCCCATGCATGTGAGTTCCTGTGTGGGTGCATGTATGTGTCTGTGTGTGTATGTATGTGATTCCTGATCTACTGAGATAGGAATAAGCTTTCACATCCTCAGCCATTCCTTCCCAATGACGGACTGTGCATCCTCCAACCATGAGCCAAAAATCAGTCCTTCCTCCCCTAAGTCATCTGCTTCTTGCCAGGTAACTAATGCACCCCTTCTGCTAGAATACACTCCATGAATCTCTGAGGATGTAGGAGACAGCAGGTGAAGCACTGTGGAACACCCACATCCCCAGAGAGAAGTCAGGCCCAGAGGGAACAGTTAGCACTGAACACTGGGCAGGGGCTCTGGGTTCTAACCCAGCCTCTTGCATTTGACTTTTTCCCCTGGCCTTGTGGGACTGAGGCTACATCCCACTGGACATGCAAACACCATAGGAAGAGACAGATGCTCTCAGACATGTCTCCTCCTAGTTCAACTACATCCCTGGCTAACCCTGGCTCTTTCTGACAATACCCAGCACCCTCTGGGGTTGGTCTCTGATGTCAATGCTTTCCCAAGCATCCCCTCTTCCTGGACCATCTTTTCCCTCCCACAACCTGGGAATGGATGTGAGGCGGAAAGGTCATTCTCTACCCACTGCAGGAAAGCTGCAACGGGGAGCCTGTGCCTCAACCAACCAGAGCAAGACCAGACTCATATTCTCCCAGAAGTCACCTCCATATTCTCTGGGTCGCACAGGAGGAAGAAGCGAACTGTGAAGCCTGCAGCAGAAACCGTCTATGCCTGTGGCCACACTACCCAGAACGCTAATGGCGGTGGGGGGGGCGCCCTTCCTGGTCAGCACTGGTCAGTGGCCACGTGCTCACTCCTCAAGGATGGCAACTAACTCATAGCCTGGCCCAGAGGAAGCCCTAATTAAACGCTACCCACTGGTGACACACTGCGTCCCTCAGTCCAGGGGGCGCACACAGCAGCCATGACTTTTTTCTGCCACTTCCAGCCTCTGTGACAGGCGATCATTTCGGACGGAATTGAAATGTCACGCCTGTCCCAAGCAGGATACTCTGGCAGCTCAGCAGGATGCACTGTTCCCAGGATGCTCTGCTTCCATTCTGTATTTTAAAGCCCTTCTCCTGTCTGACCTTACTTCCTGCTCTGAAGCCTGGACACATCCTCCACAAGGCTCCAAACCTGAAGCCCTGCCTTGTGTGTTATTTGCAGAGAGACCATTTAAGAGCTCAACACCCTATTTCCAGTTTCTTGTTTGATTTCTGAGCTGCCAAGGTTACAGAGCACATGGCGCCTTACAGACCATCTGTCCCACTGACAAGGCGTGACCGATTTTTTTTTTAAATAGAATGAATGAGACTTTTATAAATCTCTAATTGTCATTGTCCCATGAAACACCAGCACGAGCTATCTCATGAAACTTAGTTTTCGGTTGCACGTACAAGTAAGTGTGTAAAGACTGCGAAGAAGATGCATTTCTTTTTTCTGGTCGGTCACAATCACCAAAGGTCTGAAGAACACTCAGCCCATTCGCACACGTTGTCATCATGTTGTTGACATGCACAGAGAGGGAAAGCAAGTAGCTTCTAGTCACACAGCTTGTGAGTGGCCACACCCGGGTGAGAACTCCAGTTCTTCCGCTGTCCTGTGTGGGTGTTGCTCTCCCCATGCCCTGCAGTTCCCTGGTTCTGCAGCCAGGAGTGCCCCCAGGTGAGACTGGCAGGCAGCACAGAGCACCGCCCCCCAGGAGCTGGCCATGATCTGCCTCGGCCAGGAGGACTACAGACAGGACGAGGGTCAAGAAGGGATGGGGTGGTTTTGAACATGTGGCCAAGAGTGGCCTTGACTCTCATCTCAAGGATGTTAAACACAGTTACTAAATTAGGGCCTGAGCACTTCCTGTGGCCACTCCCAGATAGATGTGAGGCTAAGAGCCTCAGAGCATGGTGGAGGCTGGCTTGCCTTTCAGGAGTGGGGCCATCAGAGAAGGCCCTGTCTGAGAGCACAAGCCAGCCAGGCCAACTACCTCTCCATTCAGGTAGCAATCGTACTCCTTAGACCACCTTCCTGTGTGGAAGGGGACACCGGTCTATGCTGTGGCTCCCCTCAACCAAGCCATCAGTGCTGGCTTATTCCTCGCTTTCCAGGTGTGAAAACAGATGTTCAAAGAGGCCAAGAGACTTGAGCGAGGTAACAGAGCCTTGTGGGATTCTAGCCCCCCCCCCCACACATCCGGATCACCAGCCCCGACTTCTGAGGTGTACACACTGCGCTCATGGTCAGTCATTGCATCAAGATGCAGCCATGAGGCCACATCTGGAATATGCTTCACCTTGGATTACAGCAAAGCTCAAACACTCTCCTTCAGCCAGACAAGTTCCCAAACTGACCGAGAGACAGCAGACAACAGTTACTCTTTTGATGCTTGTGGTTTTCAAATACAAGTGTGATCCCACTGGCACAGTCAGCTCTGTGAGACGGATATTGTTACCACGCCTGTCTTACAGATAAGGAAGCTGAGGCTCAGAAAGGTCAAGCAACTAGGTGCACGTTGCATAGCTGGTTAGCAAGTGGCAGAACCAAGATTCAAGGTGGTTTCTGCCTGATTCCTATTTTCCTCCCAACCCCTTCCGTCCTTCAAGCCTTGTGGGCTGACCTGAAATGCTATTAACAACCTTCTGGACATTGGGTATCCTTCTGCATGACTCAGTCTCAAACCTACTGAAGCAGAGTTCTAATGTCTTTTCCCCTACACCTAGCTTTTTTCTCTTGATGCTTATTTTGAGAGTTGGCTTGGGAAAGCACCTCCATAGGCTGCCTCTGATCTGGTGTATCTGCCTGTGTGGATACTGGTCCAGGTTGGCAGCAGTTCCTTGGCAATCTTGGCCCTTTCTTCTGACACACTGTGGTAGCAAAGAGGCTACTGGTAGGGGTGGCTACAAGGGGAGGATACCTCTTCCCCACTCCCTCCACAAAGCAAGGGATGCTGGGAGCTGAAGGGGGCCCAGAATACTAGGCAGTTTTCCCTTCCTGTCCAGGGTTCTGAGCTATCTACCCCTGAATCCTGCCTCTGACACAAGCTGTGCATTCTTGGGTATGTTACTTTCTGGGTCTTATTTCCTCAACTGCAAATGTGAGTGATAGCAGATAGCCCGTATGAAGTGCACTAATGTATATAAAGCACTTAGAATAGCTTCCAGCAAACAGAGGGTGCTTAATAAGGGTGAGCTGGGGCTGTAAAGCAGATATCCCATGCCAGCCTTAGCACTCAGACCCTCTTTGGGAGATGGTGACAAAGAAGTATACTATAATGAGCCTTTGGAGAAGGCAGGAGAAATAGCATGCCCCACACAGGCAGAGATGGGCACCTACTTTCTGAGGGCACACTCCAGTTCATTTTTCTGCTCGTGGGCTTCTTGGAGCTGGGCGAAGATCGTGGCGAGGAGGTCTTCGAAGTTGGACAGCAAGTGGGGCTCATCCTTCTTCAGCTGCAGCCACAGCTGCCTGACGTCACTTTCACTGTGAGGGAAGGAGGGACGTTAACAGGCTGTAGGTAAGTGTCCACTCCCTGTCCACAGGGGAGTGGACAGCTGGAAACATGATCCCAATCGCCTTCGATAGCTGGAGTTCTGCGGCACAGAGTGTCTTCTGCACGCTGCCTCCCTCCATCCCCACTATGACCTGGGAGACAGATACGGCATGCTAGGACCATTCCCTGGTGCAACGATGGAGTGCCGGCCCGGGCGCTTGACTCCTGTGCTGGTCTTCTGTCTGCTGCTTCCTTCCTCTGCAGTGCTCACGATGGGCTAGTCACATGGAGCATGCATGGCAGCATGCTTGCCAGCGTCTCAATACTGAGAGGGGGCTGGGGTAGAGCCAACACCGAGATGCGGGAGAAAGATTGCTGCCCCCGGGAAGGATGTCCTCCCTGCTGAGAGGCAGACGTGCTGTCTTATCGATGGTAGAATGCAATCATCACAGCTAGGAAAGGAGGCAAATACACAGCAGCACCCCGCTGGGGCCTGGTGGCACTGGTGGGGGTGAGTGGCAAGGGGAAAATGAAGGGAAAGAACTAGTCTGAAGGATGCAGAGACACAAACAGACAAACGGGAAGTCAGACTCAGGGGTGTGTAGGAAAGAGGTGCAGAGTGATAGGTCATGAGAATCACCCACAACCAGGCATGTGGAGATGAACACACACCCAAAGGGGAAGCAGAGAGACAGGCCATGATGACCCTGTCACCAAGAGGAGAATGTTGAAGGCTGTACATGTGGGCCCCACTCTCCCTTTCTGCACTCAGAAATCTGCAGCTGTGATTGAAGTACGTGAAATACAAATCTGATTCATCCCCCATTACATCCTAAAGCCAGTATGATCAGGGGGCAGGGCCAGGGACTCCCTGGATAAAGGAGAAATCCTCCAGACCATCACAAGCCCTGTATTTTGGAAGCTTTGCTCAGAAGTGATGTTGCATTAAGTCATGTGAAGAGGGTTCAAATGGCACAGACAGACCTCTCTGCCTCACTTCTGGTTAGGGTACAATCACCTCTTTCCCCCTCCTTCGCTCCCTCCTTCCTCCCCTTCCTCCTTCATTTCCATCCTTTCTTGCTTCCAGCCCATTCAAACATCTACCTGTTCACTGAGACCATCCAGTCACATATCCACCCACCTATTCGTCAGTCCTCCATCCATTTCTTCCCTGCCGTGATGGGCATGAAACCCTCACGAGGCAAAAGGAATCTTCCTCACCGTAAGCTGTTTTTATCAGGCCCCGGCAACAGGAAAGTAGGGGCCACAGGCCAAGTCTTTCAACTCGTGATGTAAGTCACAGCTCGCTAACTGGCAGAATCATCCCACCAGACCTCCAAGAAGAGCTGTCGGTCTGGATGCCCACTTGTGGAAGTGTCCCCTTGTAGGTACCACCAAGTAGTGTAAGTTAGAGAGGCCCAAGGAAGTCAACCAGTCCATCTCTCTACTTCCAGAATAACCCATAATCTCTTTTTTGGGTGACAGATACCGCTGAAGCCATTCCAGACTGCTGTGCTTCTTATCTGTGGTTCTGCTGTCATGAACAGGTCCCTCAGGCTACAGGGCGAGCCCATGTCAGTGAGGATGGGGACCATCACCATCTTCTGTGTTGGCCTTCGTAGGCCATTCTAGAAACTATCTTCCAGACATAGCGTTTCGTCTCTCTCTACACAGGCATCTGACATGGTCCTTAGTGTGACATCTAGTGCGCACTGACTTGAGAGCCCTTCAGGAAGGTGGCTGTCAGTCTCCGCCACTTGCGACAGTGGCTTGCTCTTGGCAATGCCCCCTCACTCCTCCTCTTGCAGCAGGCAGCTTCATGGAGTCCCTGGCCGTGGTATCTGGGCTCTGGACTCTTGTCCTTGGTAAGCTGAGTCACGGGTCTGACCAAAGAACTTCCCGAATGACTGCCAATGACTTCCCTCTCTGACCTGAGCATCATCCTGGTTCTATCCACAGCTGCCCTTCCTGCCCTGCTGTTGGTGGCAAACTTCACTTCCTACCCACCAACCTCCACCAGCTGACTCTCTCCTGGGTCTTAGCCTGGCTCCTGCCTGCCTGACACACTCCTTTGCCAGCTTTTCTCACTCTGTTGATCTTACCAGGTTATTTTTTACACTGGCCCTTTCTCTTCCTGAAAGCATGACTTTCCAATCAGTAGACCATTCCCACTTGTGGTGGTTTGGAAGAAGATGGGCCCCCACAGGAAATAGGGGGGTGGCACTATTAGGAGGTGTGGCCTTGGAGTAGGTGCGGCTTTATCAGAGGAGGTGCCTGACTAGAGGTGCAGGCTTCAAGGTCTCAGAAGCTCAAGCCAGTTCTCTTCCTGCTGCTTGTGGATCACATGTAGAACTCTCAGCTCTTTCCCCAGCACCATGTTTGCCTGCACGCCAGCCATGTTTCCTGACATGACAATGAGTTTCCGTGTTTGTGGTGTTTCTTCATGGAAATAGAAACCCTAACTAAGACACTACCCTTCATGAACACACACCCAAGCCATCTCTGACGCAGGGCATCCTTTGCAGGGTAAGCAGACCCTGTGATGATGACAATAAAGAACAGGAAGTGAGGACAGTGGGAGGATGGGAGAAAGTTGGACTCTACGGGGCCCAGGATAGACTTACTCTTCCAGAACCTTTTGGGCTCCAAGTCTGTCCATTAGCATCTGGAACTGTGCTTCCTCATCATGGTCCATGTCTCCCACATCCTCATCTCCTCTAGACTGATACACCTTCTCCTCTTGGAGCTGGACCACCTGCTGGTCAGCTTCCTCCTCGCTTTGGTTTCTGTGGCTGAAGAAGAAGTGGCCTAGGAGAATAGAGAGCAATGACTTGAATCAGATATCCTCAGCCCCAGGAGGACTTGGATTTGAGGTTAGCCCTAGAGAAGCAAAAGGGGGATCACTCTATAGCAAAGATCCACGAACACTGAATCTGGAGCTTGTGTTCTTTGATCTCCCATTTGCATTCTCACAGAGATGCCAGAGCCTGGAGACAGTGCCTGGGAAGTAGGTTGGCTCCCTAGTAGGTCTCTGAAATGGATGTAGAGCACATGTCTTTGGAGGATGTAGCTCAGTGATAGAACATTTGCCTAGCATAACCAAAGCCCTGGGTTCATGAAGAAGAAAAAAGAAGAAAAAAGAGGCGGGGGAGGGGGCAGCAGTAGCAGCAGCATTTCCTGCTTCTGCATTAACCAGTAAGGTGGTTCCCTCCATCACTCTCCAGCAGCCTGCCTTGCCACCACACCAGAGGCCATCCCACCAGCAGCGCCACCTCACATATCCAGGCAGCTTTCTCTATAGTCACACTGGCTGGCACGACAGCAATCTGTCCTATCCCCTCGAGTCAATGAAAGCTCCAGGGGGGTCAAGAAGGGATCTGATATGTTTAAGGAAATTACACGGCTCTTTGTAGGCGGCAGAAAGATGGGGAAATTGGCCTCCCAGTTCATCTCATCTGAGGGTAGGATCTGTAGTCTTTATCCTGCTCCCAGGTCTTGGTTCTCTTTCCTGATAATGACCTTGAGAATGACTGGGCTATTCAAACCTAGAAATTTCTCTGATAACTGCTGCCTCTCAGCTCAAAAGACTCGGCTGTTCTTTGGCTGAGCTACTCAGTTATCACACACTTTCACTTACTTATTTTCTCTGTCAAGGCAGGAAAGATGGAGCTAAAAATCCTGACCCAGCTTCCTGCTGATGCCAAGCCTGTCTCAGTTCCTATGTGGGAGCCCTGACAGTGACAGTCCATGGGCACAGAGGATGCCATGGTATAAACTGTCAGGGTGGGCACATGAAAATAGCCAAGTAATCTCCTCCATCACAACTCTGGGCTCTGCACCCCCAAAGGGAAAACAGAAAAGCTCTGGAGACAGAGTCCGAAAGAGGTGGAGGAAACAAGGGAGACTCCCAGCCTGGGGTCCCCAACACCCACCAGAACTTACTAAATCCAGTGGCGAACTCCTCTGGGGTCAGAAAGCCATTGCCATCAGCATCCAGGGCATCAAACACATCCTCCAGCTCTTCCAGACTTAGGGGCAGCTCCCTATGCAGCCTCTGAAAGCAATCCAGACTGCACTGGTCAGTGTGCTGATGGTCAGGGGGGCCTAAAGCCACGCTTTTGCAGGCTCAGGAGCACCCTCCTCCTTACTATATTAGTGCAGAGACCCTTTATTGGGTGTCAACTAATGTATCCTTCAATTTCTATATGATTTACAAAGAAGCATATGCAGATGTGTATCTATTTGCATTTAATTTCCATGATACCCTTTGCAGTAGATATTACCATTCCCATCTTAAAGATGAAGTGTTAAGGTAAATTGCCAGCCCCAGGGGCATATAGCCAAGGAGTCAAATCCAGGTCTGACTTCAAAGCAGGCACTGTTCACACTGTCAAGGACCGTGTTGGCCAGGACTGACTAGCTTTAGGTAAGTTCCTAGAGGATGCAGTGTTCTGATGCCAAGTGAGACCACATATGGGAAGCCCTGGACACAATACCGGAAACCATTCAATGAAAGCAGGAGGGGGAATAGGGCCAGGTAGCACAGGCCTGTAATCCTAGCTACTCAAGAAGCTGAGGTGGGAGGATTCCAAGTTCAAGGCCAGCCTGGGTAACTTGGTAAGACTGTGTTCCAAAATAAAAATTGAAAACAGGGTAGAGGATGTATCTGATGGTAAAGAACTTAATGTAGCCTGCACAAGGGCCTGGGTTTGACCTCTAGTAAAGAAAAAAAAAATAATTAAAAAGCAGTAGGAAAGGACAGAGACAGGGAGAGACAGGGGTTCATGGAGACACCATGACAGGCCAGGTTGGTGGCATTGCATCCTGGTTTTTTTTCTTTGTGCACCCCCTTTCTTGAGCTACGCTGCTTCCCCTATTGTGTGGGTCTTCCTCAGTGGAGGTCAATCCCAGGTCCCAGCATTATTCCTGTAAGTAGCTGTGAACATACTCTGTTCTTAAGCTCTGAAGATGCCTGTTAATCCTCCTCCTGAATGCAAGTGGCCCCCACTCCACACAACTGCCTCCTCTGGCTCTGATTTGAATGTGAAATGTCCCCCACCTGTTCGTGAGGTTTGAACACGTGAGGTTTGGTCCCTCAGCTGATGGTGTCACTTTAGGAGGTTGTGGATGTAGACCACTGGGGAGGGCTTTAGAGGTTTAACGTCTGCACCCACTGACAGCATGAGGAATGAGGCAGCTCTTGACACTTCCCTCTGGCGTCTGTCTGTCTGGCATGAAATGGCCCCAGGCTGGAGCAAAAGTCCTCCTGTACCTAACAATCCATCTCCAAGTGAGGGTGCCCAAGAGACCTTGTTACCTCTCAGCTGGCCCCCTCCTTCCTCAGGAACCCAAGGGCCAGCTGCACAAACTAACCCTGTGCAAGCGACTGGCAGTCTTGGCCAGCATGCACAGGACTTCGTAGGAAGAAAAAGTGGACACACCTGTGGATAGTCAGTAGGCAGGTGTGACAGCCCATGACACACCTGGACGGAGTGGAGTGCCAAGCTCACAGTCTTTTAGCTGATGAGCCATAAAGCACAATTTGGCTGTGCATTAACAGAGGCGTTTAGACCACATTACCAAGTGGGAAGAGAGGCTGATGGGAAAGCCATTTGGAAGAATTGAATTAAATATGAATGGGTTTTTCAAGAAAGGAAGGAGAGGGGAAGCCTGTGCAAAGACTCTAGAAGCTCAGCTCAGCTGCAAAGCAGGCGTTAACAGTCCATAAACCAGCTGTGGCAAGAACCACGGGGAGAGAATTCAGGGTAGGAGAGTGCTGGCTCTGCAAGCAGGGAACATATCCGCTCCATTAGAAATGAAAGACAGTCCCCCTGGAATAGAACGAGACTTCCCTAGCTCCCAAGCCCGATCCTCAAGATCCTAATGCTTTCTTTTAGGATTAGATATCCTTCCTCCCTAGTCAGTTTAAGGTTGCTGGGTCTGGCAGCAAACTGATAGCTTCCATTATACTTTAGCTGGAAAGGATCAGGAAGGAAACTCCAAGACCTCAGCGGGCCTTTCACCTTCTACACCTACACACAAAGAACACACAGGTGTGATGCCAAGTTTGTCGTTAGTGTGAACCCAGTGAGGATTGTTCAGACTCAGGCTCGGGCCACCTTCCTGAGGCACGTGGTTCACTCCTGTGTAAGTAATATTCGCACTGGAGAAGAAGCTAGAGGAGAGTCATCTTCAAGGCTGGACGCACACACGCCCTCTTCCTTTAGGCACCCCCAACAGTTCAGTCACACCTGTTTCTTGCCTGTGCTTCGCCTCAGCTATTCTGAGCATCGCTGGGAGAGCTAAGGCTCCATCTGTCTCTGTCCCATGGCAGGCTGTAATGTGCTTGGCTTTAGTGGGTTGCTTGGTATAGTCTGGGCCTTCCCAACCTCTGGGAATGGACCATTTTATTCTCAGGAGTAGTTGAGGAGATGGGGGAACAAGGTAGGCGTGTCCTGTGCATGATATTCCTCATGCTGAACCTAATCATTGCCTAGCTTTGTATGGCCAGTGAAGTAAGAATGGTTTTTACATTTTAAAGTGGCTGAAAAAAAAAATCAAAGGGAGAATCATAGTGACATACAAGAAATTACATGAAATTTGAAAGTCATTTCATAAGTTTGTTTTTTGCAGTTTTGCACTATTGGGACTTGAATCTGTGGCCTTGGAGATGCTAGGTAAGTGCTCTAATATTGAACTATATCCCAGCATCCTTTAACTGTGTTTTTGAGACAAGGCCTCACTGGGTTACCCACTGGCTTTAAACCAACAGTTCTCCTACCACAACCTCCTAGGTACCTGGGTTTACAGGTGTGTGCCACCACACCCCGTTTTGGTAGGTTTGTTTAGTGCTAGAGATTAAAGCTGGGGCATCATGAATGCGAGCTCGACAAGCACTCTATCAGCTGAGCCCCATCCTCAGACCCTAGTGTTATACTTAGTCCATCATGTTACTTTCACCAGATCCTATAGTCTTGGGGTGTCACGGAGTCAGGGAAGGCAAACAGTCCAAGAGCAGGTAAGGGCCGAGCATGGAATGAACAGAGATCAGGCTCCCCACCCAGTCTGAATGGACAGCCCTCCAGAGCGAAGATGCTGAGGCCTTTTCTGGAAAGAGGTTACTCCTGCCAGGCAGCCCTGTGAAGCTCAGTTGGGGACCCCTCTCACCTGCATGTCTGTCCTGGCGATGAAGCCCTTGCCCTCGGAGTCACAGGCCTGGAAGAATTCCTGTGCTTTCTCCCACATGACACTTCGGTCTGGCACCTGCTCCTCTGCCTCCAGCCTCTCCGGGTGGTCCAGCTGCTCCATGCAGGCTCCATTTCCCTGCCTCCCACAGCCTGGTATCTGGGAGTCTCCCCTTCCATTGGGGGCGGCCATCAGACCTGCAGATTTCTTTGTGTGTTCTCAGAACCTGAACAGGGGAGGTGGGAGAAAAAGTGTGCAACTAAGGTGGAGCAAGAAGGAAGAAAAGCAGGAGGTCCAGACCTGGTCACTGGCATGTCCTGCTATCTCTTAGCAACCAACTCTTAATTATCATGGCTCAGGATCAGCGTGATTTGCAGTGAAAGCCAGTCCATCAAACAAGAGAGAATCAAGAGAGAAGGGAAGAAATACATGGAGATTAAAAGGAGGAGGGCTACAGGGCTACATCTCCAAACTGAAAAAAAAAACCCACAACACTGAAGGGGATGGATGGATTCATGAGGAGGTAGGATAGAGGATTCCCTATAGTCTCCAAATTTAAACACACACACACACAACACTAAAGATGATGAATGGACACACAAGTTGTGGTATGTAAATATAACAGAAGCTGCTTTGCACAAACAGGGAATGAACTGGATCTTGAGTGACAAAAATGGATAAATTTCAAAACAATCACGCACCCACAAGAAACCAGGGGAGAATACACTTGTCACATGATTCCACTTAAATAAATGCACTTACAGTTGTTGTCCAAATTTATTATTGCATTTGAACCATAATAGAAAGAAGATATGGGGTGAGGAGGGATGAGAAAGGGGCATGGGGATACGGATGGATATGATAACTGCCTTCATTTCATGAGAGTGACATTTGATTCCATGACGCACTCACAGAGGTATTTACTCGCTCGCAGTGGTCTCTCAGCATCCCTGAAAGACTGCTGCAGAGTCCTCGCTCTGCTCAAAAATATCTGTGAATGCTCAAGTTCATCATACAAAGTGGGGTTGTATTTAGATATAACATATACATATTCTACCGTATACTTTATTTATTTATTTAGACACAGAGCCTCCCAGGGTAACCTAAGCTGACCTTGTGTTCGTGATCCTCCTGCCTCAGTCTCCCATGTTCTGGGATCAGAGATCTGTCACCATGCCTGTCTCCTACCATATGTCACCTAGAGATGGGGTACAATTCCTGCTACAGAGTAGGTGTTATCTGGACAGTTTACACTAGATTCTCCAGGGGAAAACAACGAGAAAAAGGCTCATGCCTGTTTAGCGCACACATACTCTTTAATACTTCCCATGTTCAGTTAGATGTAGAACCCCCACACATGGAACACTGACTGCATTCGTGTGTGTGTGTGTGTGTGTGTGTGTGTGTGTGTGTGTGTGTGTGTATGCAAAATCTGCCAAGCTACACACTTCAAAGGCACACAGCTTATTTTATGTCAATATCTCAATGAATGTACTGAAAAGAAGGCAGGGGTCAGGGGAAATGAGGAGGTATTGCTGTATTGGGGCCACAGCCTTCTTCTGCCCCCCCACGAGACCTAAACAGCCTAGTCCTCTGCATAATATATCTATATATAATTTTAGGTGTATAGCTGTTTTGCCTCCATGTGTGTCTGTACGTCTTCCTTTGACATTCAACTCTGTCAAGGAGGGGGAAAAAACAGCTGAAAATTAGACAATTTCCCTGTGGAAAGCTCCAGACTGTGTAGACCCCCAACCATAAAATTATTTCATTCGCATTTCATAACTGTAATTTTACTACTATTCATTATGAATCTTAATGAATATCTGATATGCAAGACATCTGATATGGGACCCCCAAAGGGATAATGACCCACAGATTGAGAACTCTGTCCTATAAACACACAGACACAGGGCGGAGCTCCTTCAGAAGGCCACCTAATTACTGGCATCCAGCCTTCTTTCCCTTCTCCTGCAGCCCCCCACACTGACCTGAAATCTCTGCATAGCTCGGTGTGGTTCTCAAAGAGCAGTGGTCAACAAAACAATGGAAGTGCTGCTGCTTCATGTCAAAGCAAAGTGGAGCCCTGCCCTGAACTCAGCTATCTCCCACCTAGTTGGAGCCCAAGGAAGCCTTCACCTTGGGGATAGACAGAGTTCTTGTCTCCAAGATTTTCCATTAGAGGGGTTGGTGGGATAGCTCAGGGGATAAATGCACTCGCCATGCAAGTCCGCTGACCCGAGTTCAACTATCAGGACTCAGGTAAAGGTAGAAGGGGACAACTGACTCCATAAATCTGTTATGATCTCCACACTCATATGGTGGCATGTGTAGACATGCACAGAATAATAATATATTTTATTAGAAGATTTTTATTAGACCAAGAGACAGTACAGTTACAAAAAAAACAGGCTAGGTTCTACCCTCTCTTCTTGCCTTCCTTCCTCCTTCCTCCCTTCCTCCCTCCTCCTCTCCCTCCATCACTCCCTCCCTCCTCCTTTTCCTTCCTTCCCTCATCCTTCCCTTCCACTCTCCCTCCCTTTTTCTTCCCAACTGGAGACCAAACCAAGGGCCCTGCCCATTCTAAACACACCCTATCACTGAGTTAAGTCCCTCAGCTGAACATTCTTTGTACCAGCCTGAGGCTGAGTTTCTCAACTACTCTCTCCCTCCAGAATAATTCCATAAAAATGCTTTTCATGCAGATGGAAATTACCCAGTCCTTAAACATTTCTAGGAAGATATCCCAGTTATCCAGAGTAATTCTAACAGCTTAAGAGTGTAATTAGAAAGTTTGGAGATCAAACCTAAATCCCTCCTGAGGGGTTAAAGTGAACTTCTCCCTTAATCTGGCTCCAGTTGGTATTTCTCACCCCACTACACCTGCTGCCAACTTGAAGGCGGCCAATAAGTCATACTGATTCCCCCCGAATCCCTACTGCAGCAGGCAGCTAAAAGATCAAAGCCCCAAAGCATCCCTGGGAGCCATTCAAATCTCTTGAACTATCCAGGTTTCAGTGGAAAGAAACCCCCCCCCCACGTGGGGTGGGACCCTAAGTTCTCAGTTATTAGCCCGGAGCTGGCAAGGCTGAAGATAGGCAACTCTTACCACATGGCAGACAGACCATCCCACTTGAGCTTCTGGGAGGTGGCACAGCACAGCGGGGAGAACCAAGCTGCCCCAGGTTCAAATTCTGCCTCCATTACTGTCTATCTGTGTGACACTAGATGAGTTAGGTGACATCTTCATGATTTCCTTGTACCATCTGTAGAACTCAGAAGACAAGGCAAGCAGAGTTGGGAATAAAAAATTATCATCAAAGAAAGAGAAGGGATTTGCTACATACAGGGTTGCGTTCGTTTGGGGACTTGGCCAAGCTGATCTCTTTCATCATCATCATCTTCCTCAGCTATCCCTAGCCTACTACCTGACCAGAGGTGGATGGCATCATTACTATTATCGTCGTTGAAATCAGCTGGCTTCCTCTGCCTCAACTGTATTTCAGCAAGCCAAACTAATGAAACCTATACTACATGTATGTGTGTAGGTAGGCAGACATATATGTGTACATGTATATATAATATTGTATCGATTAGTAACTTTCCTGTTGCTAGGATGGAACACCATGGCCAAGGCAACTCACAGAAGGGAGAGTTTCTTTCCGCTTATGGTTTAAGAGGGATGAGAATCAGTCCTGGTGGGGAGACATGGCAGCAAGCGGCGGGCACGGCAGCTGGAGCGAGGAGCTGAGAGCTCAGAACTGACACCGCAGAGAGAGAAAACTGGAAATGGTGAAGGCCTGTCAGCCTCAAAGTGACATCTTTCCTCCAGGGAGGCCGCACTTCCTAACCCTCCACAACATGACGATGTATGTGCGTACGAATGTGTATATACATATGTACAGATATACATATATACATACAAATGTATAGACACATATACATTTATACAAATGTATGTATGCATATATGCATATATACATATATGCCTTTGTGTAGGTGTATACATTTATATACAATATATACATGCATTCATAGATACACACACATACCTCCGTGTGCTTGCTCTCCCCCTTCCCCAACTCTTCGGAGGGGAAGAGAGCAAACACACCAAGAGACAAAACCAAGAGTCATTAAGTAACACAGACTCTCCAGGGGATGGACCGTGATGAAGTGATCGCTCCTGTACCGGACCACCCAGAAGGGAACAAGCCCCGGAAAGGTCAGGTGTGTGGCAGGCACCTTTGATAAAGACCATCTTCCCTCTGGCAGCCTGCTGTAGCTTATGCAATCCTCCTGTCGGCATTCTTTCTCCTCAAATTAGGGCCAATTTCCATGTTCTAGCCTCCAGGGAGACAGGGAACAGCTGTCTTACCTCTATAAAATAATTCTTCCAGGTTTGGACAGCTGTTATTATACAATCCCCCCCCCCACACACACACACACTCCCCTGATCTATTATAAGACACATTAAAGGCCCTTGCTAATGGCTTCGGGTCTCACCAAGATGGTTGCTAGTCACCCTAATTCCTCCAATAATTAGTGGTTGTAAACCACTTTGAAGATAAAAGGCATTTTATAAGAGCTAAGTCCCATTATGATTAGCTTCCCAATACTCCCCCCACACACACACACCAACACTGATGAGCACATCAAAGCCCAGTGCAGTCCCAGTAAGCTATCTGCTGCTTAATTAGATGTGTTTCAAGGCGGCTGGTATATATTAAAGAAACTGCTGCAAAATTTATCAGTGTTAGAAGAGTGTCTGCTTTCTTCCTAATGTGAACAAGCTCTTTTCAAAGGCTGTCAGTGCTTGATGCCTGTCAGACAGGAGCTTGGAAGAGCGTGAGTGCTAATGTGGACTCCAGGTCGACAAGGGAAAGGCACACTCGGCTTCCGGCTTCGCCTAACAGCTTGTCAACAGGGTTCTACACGCCCTGCCTTTTGATTTTGCAAACATGCTGTGATGTAAGCAAGAGAAGGCACACATTGTCTCTGTTCCATAAATGAGGACCTTGCATACAATCATGGCTTTGCAGGGATTTACATCCGGGGTGGTGGAGCTGATCAGGGTTAAGGTTCCTGACCAATAATAATGGAGGTGACATGATTGATGCTCTACCCAGACTCTAAAACATTTGTGCAACATTGCTGGTCTCCTGGGTGCTCTCATTGCCTACACCTGTGCTTTGACTAGAGTTCTTGGTCCACAGTCCCAGAGCCAAGAGTGCCTAAAGTTTCCTCAACACTTCTAAATAGCTTTCAGGCAGTGTGTGAGAGTGAAAAGCCAGTTTCCTTGTCTCAGTGGGGGTGAAAGTGGAGATCTGAGATATACTCCCAAACACTTGGCAGGACCAGAGGCTGGAACTTTAACCCAGTTCTTGCTTTCGATTCTTCCCTTCTGCAGCCTGCTCAACTTCCCTCTTATTGGGCTCTCCTGGGCATATTTCTTCTCAAAAGTGCCCACATGTAAATATTTCTCTCAGGCTGGGCTCCGATAGCCCCATGCTGACAGTTCTCCTGCCTCAGGATTCAGGAACATTTTGTGTATTTTCTATGGAACCCATGCTCCTAGATTCTCTTAGTTCCAAATCATCCTTTCCCAGCTTCTGACCTTCAGTGATTTTTTTTTTTCTTAGCCCTATACCTTCAGTCCTGGATCTGAGTTCTCAAAGCCTCTATTTTCTCTTGTATCATGAAGTCCCAGCTGTTTCTGAAGGAAGTCATTATGCCTCTCTCCTGATCCGCACAGACATCATCAAACCAGGCAGGTGCCATGGAAGATGGAGAGAGGAATTTAGTGAGCTTACACTGTAGAGAGGAGATGAGACACAAATGAGGGGGGAGGGGCTGAGGATGTGATGAGAGCCACATGTGTGTATGATTAAGCCTCTCAACGTGCAACCCCCAAAATGAAGTTGTCCCCCAATAATTCTCTACATAATTTAACTCAGGCTTGGACCATTTATCTATTTTGTTCCATCTATCTGTGGGGGAGGGAAGAGCAGGTGTGTGCCACGGCACAGCTCTGGGAGTAATAGGGCAACTTGCAGGGGACAGTTCTTTTTCCACCATGTAGGGCATGGTGATTCACACCACGTGTCAGGCTGCCCTGATTTACCTAACTTGACTCAGAAGGCATTATCGAATGTTTAAGAAAAGTCAGCTGTCATGGAGATCATCCAAATGAGCAAATAATACCATTAGAGGAGCTTTCATTTAATTTGGTTTGCCCTGTCAGCACCAGGTTCTGAGCAGTGCCTCAAAATCGTGCTTCCAGAAGCTTAAGTAATCATTTCAGTGGCAGACTGTGTATTTAAACCTGTGCCCTCTGTTAACATCCTGGTCTCTCTCTCTGTGTAAAGTGGGGCTATGAGACTTCACTTTGCACACTCGTGAAGAATTATGTGTATTGGCCATTACGATACCTGGCATATAATCAGCAGTGCTGATACTTGCTACCTTTTAAAAACTTTATTATTGTGTGTGAGTGTGTGTGTGTGTGTGTGTGTGTGTGTGCGTGCGCACATGTGCTTAAGTGCAAGGCCAGAGAAAGGCACCTGTCACCCTGGAGGTGGAGTTACAGGCAGCCATGAGCTACTAGATGTGGGTGCTGGGAACTGAGCTCTAGTCCTCTGCAAGAGCAGGAAATGCGCTTCACCAATGAGCAACTCCCCAGCCCCACAACTGCTAATTTTATTCCTGGATGGAAAATGGAACCACAGAGCATCCCTACAGTTTGGAAGTGGCTTCTTCCCAAAGGTCCACGAGCTGGAACACTACTGAGAGGTGGTGGGCTTTTAGGAGGCAGGCCTGGTTTAGCGGTAAATACGCACCCCTCCCTCAGACTGGGCTGGATCTAGACTGAGTGGGTCCGTGTCCTCAGAGCAGACCACTATAAAAGAGTCAGCTGTGCCCTCCATGGTCTCTGGCTCCCTCTTTGGTTTTGTGACTTTTCTCTCTCTATCTCATGTGTCACTGACATGTGATGCAATCTGCCATGAACGCCCTCAACCAGAAGCCAACACTGGTAAAGTTTCCTTTGGAACCCAGAACTGTGATGTGAATAAACCTCTTTCCCTTATAAGGAATCCAACGTTGACTATTTTACCAAAACAAGGTGATTCTTTGTGGAGAAGCCCACATCCATGCTCTTGAATGTGTTTTAATTTCTTCTAAGTGCTTCTCTTGCTTTTAAACCTCATGTCTAAGCCCATATTAAAACACCTTTATTTAACCACAACTTGCCTCATATGAATCCAAGACAACATTGCCAAGGAGATGTATGTAACACAGAGACCCCCCCCCCCCCACACACACACACACTGCTTTCAGGCTAAATCTTAAACACACTGAACCATTAACATCTCTTAGTGTTAACTCCCATTTTTCACTCTTGTCTTCACTTTGTTTCCTATTCTCTCAGTCGGCTTGTGTCCTGGCATCTTCAAACATCTCCCTCTCCTCCTCTCCTCTCCTCTCCTCTCCTCTCCTCTCCTCTCCTCTCCTCTCCTCTCCTCTCCTCTCCTCTCCTCTCCTCTCCTCCCCTCTCTCCCCTGATATTTCCTTCCCCTTTATCTATGCTAAGTCCTACTAGCGCTAATGCCTTGGTCCCCAGTTATATCAAGAATACCATGGGTTGAGTGGCCATTAGAAATTCTTTCTTCATTTGTTCCCTGAATCTGAAAATCCAAGGTTAACTGGGCTCTGATGTTATCCCTCTTCCAATGGCAGATGCTGGTTTACTGCAATGCATTCACATGGCGAAGGGGGCTAGGGAGATTTCTTGAGCCTCTCTCACGAAGGAAGCCAATCTCATCTGTGAGGCTAGCTCTTCTGAGCTCACTGCCTCCCAAACGCCCTTTTCTTGTTGCCATCTGCACTGGGAGTCAGGTTCAGCACAGGAATCCTGGCAGGCACAGCTGTAATTCAATCCTTAATGCTCTGTCCTTGGTCCTTCCTATCATCCCCTATGCAAAATATCTCTCTCCGTCCCAGTAACGTCAAAGGTCCTGCTCATCTCAGCATCAATGCAGTCTGATGTGTTCAGATTTTCCAAGTCTGAGATCTCACTGCTCATCCATTACGCATAAATCAGCCCTCCAAATCGCCAGGAGGCTCCTCAGCAGATCCAACCAACCAGTGATTAACAATATTAAACAATGATGTCTGTACCGAGCATGTAGAGGTGTTTCTGTTATTATCCCTTAAACAATGCAATCTAACAAGCATTTGCACAGCATTCATCTTCGTTATCAGTCTTCTAGGCGTGCTTTGCAGCATTTGAGAGACAAAGCAGAGATTACACGGGAGTACCACGGCGTTTTCTATCGCA